CTCGCAGGGGGTCACAGACACGGAGCCGGTGGAAAACTCGGTCTTTTCCCTTTTCTGTGGGCCAAAGTAGGCATGGGAATTCCGCTATGGTATCAGAGGAATTGACGCAAGCACACGCTCACAAACACAGAAACGCGCTCACACACAAATTCACGGGTTTTACCGACGAAGCTGCGCGAGCCTTAGGAAATCTTGCCGAACTTTGGCTTCGAAGGAACTCGGAAGCCTGGCGCAGATTTGGTTGGGAGGGAAACAAGTGTTGGAGTTCGCCCTTCTTTTGACACATACCCGTATTTCCCCTTGCTTTCAAACATCGGCTTTGGGGTGTGATGTTTGGGTTGAACTATGGGAATGCGGAAGGTCCACAGTTTGCCTTTCACTTCTGGAGTTCCATTAGCGTATTAGGACATGGGGTTGCTCACCAAGCATACCACTAGTCTAGGGCATGATTCCCCATCTTCCCAAGCATCCTTCTTGTCAGACACGTGTCTGCTTCTTTTTTTGATGGTTTCTGCGGGTTTTCTAGAAAGATTCGGATTGCTGGGAAGGAATGGACATGACAGGTACCCCGAACACCAGGAAGGTACCAGGAAATGAGACCATGGAGGCCTGGACCTGGGGTCGATGCTCAAACTGCCTGGGCTCGGGGCCGGTTTCCCCGCAATCAACGAGCTGCTGTGTTCTAAGTACATGACATTGGGGTGTATCGTTTTTGGGGGGACCCCTCCAAGAAAAAGTTGAATTGATGAAACCTGATCCAAAAAGGACCCGCAAAAAAAAAGAGGAGGCCCCTTGTTTCACCGTCCTTTACCCAAGGAGCTTCATCTGAATTGGGTCAGCCATGCGACAATTGGTTGACCTGTAGGGCCTCCTTTGGCCTGCATTGTGGCATCTTTGTTGTTAAGTCAGCCACACGGCCGGGCCAAGCCTTTTCTCGCCGAGGAAGGGAGTTCGTGAGATGATCTGTCACATTGGGCCCTACCTCAGCGACCCAGATGTGGCCAGCACTTTTGATGCGATCAACATGCTCCCCGGATGTAAGTCGCAGTGGGCAAGGTGGGGATTGGCCAGATTTAGATATGTCCTGTTCTTTAGATTTGGCACCCCCAGTTTTTTGCTGTTTGCGCCCGGTGGGGATGCGACCAACCAACCGACCTACCAACCAGCCAACCAAGCAAGCAAGCAGGGCCAGGACGCCAGACCTATGCCACAAAGGGAGACGCCTGCCGGCGCATCTGCGAGCGCGCAACGGAGTTTCAGAGCGCAAGTTGAAGTACCAGCCAAGTGCATGTGAATTGCAACTGGTGGTTTTCCTTTTGTGTTTTTGCAGAACCACGAAAAGGGTACCCTCAAGAAAAGGTTGAAACATCCAGTTGGGCTGATCGGCTTGACTTTGTTTGCTGCTTTGGGCGTGGCCTGCTCTGTTGCATGCTCGAACACTGATGCGGTGCTGCATCCTTACCGCGGTTGCCATCGCCACAGCTGTGCGTGCGCGCACATGCGTGCGCACGCGCCTGTGCGTGTTGGATTCTTAGGTTTGGGAACTGATTCTCAACATGACTTTTCTCACAACATGACTCTTGTCATGACTTTGGGTCCCGGTGTTCCTGTAAACCATGCGGGGTAAGTGTCAGTTTCGCCAAACTGGGGGGGGGATACCAAAAAGCTCCCATTTTCCTTTGTTCTCTCTGTTCCCTGTGCTCTGTTCAATCCTCTGCCCTCTGTTCTGTTCAATCCTTTGTTCCCTCTGTTCTGTTCAATCTCCTGTCTGTTCCCTCTGTTCCATTCAATCCTGTGTTCCCCCTCTATTCTGTTCAATCCCCCATGCACCCTTCCAGGAAATTGGGAATGACAGCAGCAGCTGCCACTCGCTTCCGGAAGCTGGCCATCGAGCTCGGCGACAGCAAGAGCTTGCCGATGACGGGGTCCCCGCCTCTGACTGGCCAAGAGGTGTGCTTTTTTTCTCCCAAAATGTGGGAGCCCTTGTTTTTTTTTGGTTCTTTTGTTTTTTAATTCATGGATCTCCAAAAGTGGGAACCATATTACTCACCTTTCACCCGCCAAAATGGAGCCAATTTTTGGGGGAGGGGGGTGGGGGGGCGGGGGGGCGGCTTTGTGACTCCTGGGGGACAGGCATCATGGTTGGGTGGGCTCCGCTTCAAGTTGATGATCAACAGCTTGAGTTTGATTGGCGCAGCCAGAGATGAATTAAAACCCAAAGCTTGGCAAGGCCGGCCGTTTTCACCTGCGTTGTGTGTGTGTGTCTGCGCGTGGGTGTTGCAGCTGCCTATTCTCAGCGCGTGGGTAAGTTAGTGTTGGATGCCTCAAGACATGTTTCCAACAGCCGGTCGGTAGCTTGTTCACTTTGGCCCCCGAACTGCAAGGAGTCTGTCTCTGAGCTGCTTCCAGGAATCCCAGCACTTTGGTCCATGGATTTTCCGTTTAGGCTGTCATTTTCAGGGGTTGAACGAAACGGGAGGCAACAAGGGAACGCCTGATGGTCCAAATGTCCGATTTTTTTTCCGGACGAAGGATCAGCACTCGCCAGCGCTTCGAAGCTCGCCCCGTTGAAGCGTGACTCGGTCTGAGAAACCTTTCGGTCTCATGACAGGGCTCCTTAAAAGATCTCCATTTTGCAACCATTTGAAACATGTTGCTTTTTCAACACCAAAATAAAGTTGGAACCCACCATTTACAAGTTGCAATGTTCAGCCTGTCGGTTGGTTTTAGCCCTGGGTTTCGCTTTGCAAAAGACTAAGGGGTACCTCTGTGGAGAAGAAAAGTGGCAGTTTTACCCTTGGCTCTGCGAAATGGTTTCGCTTTGCCAAGAAACGATCCAAGGGGGGCTCAATTTGGAAAAGATTGATATTGCGGACTTGCATCCTGCCCACGGGCGTCAAGGACTATCTCCCTTGGCCAATTTGTCCGGGGCCTTTTTTCTGGGTGTTGCCGCCTGAAGAAGCGGTAGGCCGGTTTCTTGAGCCATCATTGAGCCATGGTCCATTTTGGAGGGCCATCGCAGCTTTACCTGGATTCAGCCATTGGCTTCAAAAGACCTGTGCTGCTTTCGCTGCTTTTCGCTGCTTTTCGCTGTTGGCTTTTTTAGTTCCCCCCCATGAGATTTTCCCATAGCTGATCCCCGTAATTTCCGGTGCTCACTTGGGATTGGTGCGCCTGCCAGTTTCTCGAATCTGAGGCACTGAGTCTTGCAGCGAGCAAGACGGATTCCCGAAAGACTTGAACACTAGGCTGGGCGCCGTGGCAATAGCATGTCCTCTGGTCTCCGTTGGATGGGTTCCACTGGTATAAGTGAAACAATCAGAAGTCTACCAGGGCCTCCCTCTTGAAAGTCGTGGACGCAACTCCCCCAAGGAATGGTTTCTAAACGAAAACTCAAGTTCCCCCCTTTTGTTTCCAAAAAGGTCACCAAATGGGGCAATGGAGACGAGCTGAGCAGATTTCCGGCAACCTAGAAAGGTGGGAAAGGTGCGTTCCCTTACTTCCGGTGTGCGAATTCTAGGAAATAATGCCCGGATGGGTGGCTCGTCGTTTTAGCTGTGGGACCCCCCCCCCAAAACAAAGAAGAAAAAAAGGGCGAGTTTTCCTCCTGGCCTTCTGGTTTTCCTTGAAGCACCACAAAAAACGGTGTATCCAAAGACGCAGGCGGATGCTTTGCCGAACCCCAGGGCCCCTGCCCAGGCGGCAGATTTCATCAGCACCACTGCATGGCCGGAACCTTCCAATGAGCTTACGGGCGGTTCGGCCGTGTCCGTGACGCATAGGCGTGCTGATAGCGGCATAGACCACCGATTCAAGGACAGTGCTGTGGCAAGTGGCAGTGTTGCTGCAACAAATGGGCGCTGAAGAAATTGGGCTCAGTCCTTGGTCGTGTGACCTCATCTCAAGCTGCTTGTAAATACATCCCATCGCCCGTGTTCCCTCGGGATTTCAAGTGATGTACAGCGCCTGGGACTTTTGATCGTCCGACCTTCCTTTGAACTTTCACTGATTGGCTTTTGCGCTCCTCTGTCCAATAATTTGTGGGTCCATTGCCAGGAGGCTTGCTGGGGCCGAACAAAAAGAGTTGTTGCTTTTCACCCCAGACTCGACTCCTTCGCCGGTGGGCCCACTTCCCGACGCATGATAGCGTAGCACTGTGAACTTTTTCGCATGACAGCGGTAAACCTCTCGCATGACAGCGGTATCTCTCGCATGATAGCGGTATCCCTCGCAAGACAGCGGCGCATGACAGCGTTCACGAGAAGGCAATAGCCAAAAAAGGGCGCGCGCGCGCGCGCTGCATCTCCAAGCTTTTCGTTGAGTGACGAGTGTGATTTGTGCGGGGAGGGCAGATTGCCATTTTGGGGAATCAGCTTGTATGTGATGGTCTTGTGTTCAGACTTGTGGCTTGGAGGCTTTTCAGATGTGTCTCACTTGAACAGCTTGCACAGCATGACACAGACATAATATGATGTTTCAATTCTATGCAACTCGCTTTGCTGACAACCGTGAATCCTGCTTGACGGCAGGCTGCCAATAGCTCAAGCTTTTACTGGAATTCTTGGGCCACAACCTCTGCCACTAGCCAGATGGGTATGGGTCAAAATTAAACCACCAGGAATTGGACCGCAGGGTCTAGTCCATGTTTTCACTTACCATGGTTCCATTATGGGTACCTATGTTTGACCCACAGCCAGATTTGTGAATCCCTTTTTGTAGCGGGCACTCTGTAAGTGGGTGTGGGATGCGGGCATTGTTTGAGCCCTGCACATCTCATTCGCGGCGAACAGCAATCGCGGCAAAGAAAGAGAACCCAACTATATAATTGGACCGTTGGACCCTCAAAAGTCTTCTCAAAGATTGAACATTACCCCCCCCTCCCCCAAACAAATCGGGGTGAATTCCAGTTGTTATTTTTCTTTTTAATTATGGGTTATTGCCCTCCAAATTTCTTGGGGACGCCAATGAGTGATGGATCACAAGAGGCTTCGAGCCCCGAGGCGAAGCGCCCAGCAGGCGCGGCCGACGGATCTTGCGCTGGTTTTCTTTGGACCAAGGAAACCAACAAAATGCCACCAGGCAACCGTTTTTTTTTTTTTTTGGGGGGGGGGGAGGTCACTTTTTTTTGGGGGGGGGGTTTGAAGCCGGAGAGCGGGCTTTCAAATTCCGCGGGGGAGGAGGAAATGGGTATAGGACTTGTGGAATCTGTTCGTCCGACATGACGAAAGTCGCTTGCCAGCGTCACTCAGTCAGGCCACCTCCACCATTGGCCACCTCCCCTACCGCGAGGCGTGAGCTGAAGCTGAAGCCCTCGGCGTGCCGTTTGTTTTTTTTAGTTGGTACCCCCTTTTTTGGAGCTCTTTCAAAGGGACACCAAAAAGAAAACACCCAATTTTGTTGGGTTCAGAAGCCCACACCCAGAGGTTGGCTTCGCAACTCTCGATTTGGAATTTTGTGGGAATCGAAATGCTAAGAGTGGGCTTCGGCGTCTGCCTCTCCTCGGTCAGCTTTCGGCCCTTTGCTTCAGGCCACGCTGCTTCAGGTAAATCACTTACCTGGAAAGGTTCAAAGAAACATCCCGCGGATCTCCCACCGGATCTAAGGTAAGTCGAATGGAAGCCACTTCCGATTGTCCCCCCAAAGCAAAGAACAAACACGTCCATTAGCTTAAGAATATTATATTTTTCGCCCTGTTGTTGTTTTCCTTCAGGGAATCTATCACTACTGGACGTATTTTTTAGTGGTTTGCTCCAGGAAACTTACACAAACGGAACAAACTCACACGTGTTTGCCCGCTTATGGGGAGCTCAGCCAATCCGCAGGGCCTCCCCGGTGCCGCAGCTGGTGCAGCGAGGCGTTGAACTTCAGGGGTTTGGCTGGGCGGGGGGGTGGGGGTGCAAAGCTTTGGTTTGAGAAGTCAACGGAAGCCCATCCTTCTTTTGAAGCACTGGGGCTGTAAGAAACTTTAGAGCCTCCGGCTCAGTCCGCCGACATTGTCCTCTCCCTTTTCTCCTTCTTCCTCTCTCTTGTGTCTCCTCCCGTGTGTTCTCTCGTCCTCTCTCCCTCCCTTTGCTCCCCATCCTCCCCATCCCCCCAAGCCTCTCTCTCCTCAATCTCCCTCTCTTCTGTCTCTGGCTCTGGCTCTGGCTCTCGCTCTCTCTCTCTCTCTCTCTCTCTCTCTCTCTCTCTCTCTCTCTGTTTCTCTGTCTCTTTCTGCCTCCCTGTCTCCTTCCTGTCCACGCCCCTGTACAGAAACAAAGGGTACCCTTATTCCAACCTCTCTACTGGAGGACCTAGTCTCTCTCTCTCTCTCTCTCGCTTTTTCTCGCTGTCTCTCTCTCTCTCTCTCTTTGTCTCTCTGTCTCTCTGTCTCTCTGTCTTTCTGTGTCTCTCTCTCTCTGTCTCTCTCTTTCTCTCTCTCTCTCTCTATCTGTCTCTTTCTCTGAATCTGGCTCTGTCTCTGTCTCTCTCTCTCTCTCTCTTTCTCGCTCTCTGTGTCTCTCTCTCTCTCTCTCTCCCCCTCTCTCTCTCTCTCTCTCTCTCTCTCTCTCTCTCTCTCCCGCTCCCTCCCTCTCTCTCTCTCTGCATTGCAGCGTCACGTCCCCCCTGAGTTGCCTCGATGTCCAGGCACTGCCCCTTCATGACCCTGAACTGTCTGCTTCTGCTGGCTTTCCCCTTCATGTCCTTTTCACGTTTCCCATGATGTCCTGGTCATGTCCCTTCCATTCCTCTCAACTCCCCCTTCATGTCCCTGTCATTTTCTCGGTATGTCCGCTTCATTTTCCATGTATGTCCCGTTCTTTCGTTGCGAGTCATTGCCCTACATCTCCCGTCGTGCCGATTGTTTCCTTGTCCTTTGTTCCCTTTTATTCCCCCCTGCACTCCCCTTGTTTTCATTTCTGTCCCTTTCCCTTTCAGTTCCCCTTCTGTCATGTCGACTTCCTATTTCCTCCCCTCATTTTCGTGCACTTCCTTGTATTTCCCCTTTGCTCCCCAGTATTTCCCGCAAAAACACGGGTTTTGATTTTCGGCAAAAGGAGGCAGGAAACCCAAACCAGCAAAGAGCCGGCAGGGGGATTCGAGCCTGGGACCCCTGTTTTGCGGGAACGTCATCAAATTACTGCGCGGTACCCTACGTATCAGACGTCGGGCGGGGTGGGGTTAGGGGGGGTTATCCTCTATCCTCTCTTAGGTGTCCAACACGCCTCCGCAATGTCGGCGGACATCCTATCCCTGTGAGCACCCCTTCTGTTTTCAAGCGGGCTTGCCCCGCCTCAGTCTTTGCATGGTCTTAAGTTTGTCCATCCACAGTATCTAGGCGAAGCTACAAAGGGATGGTCATAAATCATGCACCCGTATCCATGGTTGAGGATCTATATGCGGCGAACATATTTTTTGGGGATCCATATTCCGCATGGAGTCAAACCCGTATGGTCGAACGACCGGTTCCGTTGGTTTCACCCAGACATGGTGTCATGAGCCCCAGAAAGCGACTGGCCTAGCAAACTTGGCAGGTGGGCTCAGCTGGGCTCAACTAAGGGCTACTCAGTCAAGGGGATCATATCATTCTAGGGGTTTCTTAGGTGGTGCAAAATCGATTTCGTCCATCCACAGTGGATCCCGTAGCAAGTCTCGAGTGAAGACTTCCAGGACCAAAACCGCCCTCCGGCCGAGGCCAGGGCCAAGCCGCGGCCTTCGGCCAGGCGCGCAGAAAATTCGGCGGTGAAAATGGGACGCCACGTGGTTGTTGTTGGGAAGCATTTTACATTTTTGCCTATTGTGGTTTAGTGCTTGAAATCCAGCCACTTAGCTGCTAAAATTCGAATTGTTGCTCCCCTTCCAACGTCCACCAAGGCCAGCGCAAGACCTTTCCCCAGTGAAGCCTGTCTTGAAATTGACCGCCCAGCCTCTGGGCGACGGCCCAAAGAACATGCGCTTATCTCTGATCCTAGCTTTGTGAAAGGAAGGGGATTCCCAGTAAGGAAACCTTTTGGGGATACTTTTTCTCGGGGTCATTCCATTTCTCAACCTATCGAACCAGAATTTGACACTTCAAAGCTATATCTCTGTCTGGTACACTTTTCTTTGCTCAAATACTTGGAGATCAATCTCACACAATATTAGTCAGCTGTGGCCTTCTTGCGAACCAAACGGGTGGGCCATGGCAACAGCATTCATGAATCGTATGTAAATATGTATCTAGATATGTACATATTACGTATTGATATGATGTGTGCATATATATATATATATATACAGGTGGAGATGGATTACGTGATCTGTCCAAACATACTTTCTGCAGCAGAACTGCGCAAAGCTATCTATGCGCTGTCCCAGTAAAAAGATGGTTTGGCAAGCTAGAAGTAGCAGTTGTAGCTTAGCCGATTGTAGGTGGTCACCTTCGCTTGACCAAACCTGAAATCGGCTTCGGTTTGTCGCAGCCGAGCACAGGTTTTGAAAGCAGGGGATAAGGTATGATGAGCAACATATGACCAGCAGGCAGAAAGGCCAGTTGAACTTTTAGCAGGGGATCTGAGGACAGCCCAGGTCACCGTTTCTTGGAGTGGGCTGGTCGGTCGCAGCCCGCAGGCGGGACCGACCCGCGCGGAACCTGTGACGCAGATGTCACGACCCGAGCCGATCGCGCGCCAAGAGCCGGTGGGAAGATTGGCGGAGCCAGTCCAACAGCTGCAGGCAGGGCTCGCTTTCGGACTTTTTGTTTGGATCGCCTTCGAGGCTGACAGAAAGTCGTTCTCGGACAATGGCCAGTCCATGCGAATCCATGCATGAGGCACCTGGCATGATTTCTGCTTGCTCAAAATGGCCCTTTTCCCCGACTGCCCGACTAGGCGGTACCGGTTCTCCCCAGCGTGAGAGGATCGCAAGCAATGGGCCAACTTTCAAAGTGATGCCGAATCGGCTGCCGTGTTGCCTATGCCTAATCCAGTTTCACCCTGGCACGTTTGGCTTCTTTAGCTATTTGTTTGTTCTAAAGTGGGTTTTCACCAGCGACTGCACGGATGTTTATGCAGTTCTGATGTTTTAAGGAGTTTTCGGCAAACATCAGGACTCAAGGTTGCATAGGTGGACTGGCAAATGGATGATTTCTTGGGCCTTGGCCAGGATTGCCATGCATGTGGCAGCACTTATTTGGGCGACGAGCTCTTTTGCCGACGATGTGGGCAGCGCAGGACTTCATTGCAAATGCGCCATTAGCACACCCGATCACAACAACATGTAGGTCCAAAGGACACGAAGCCCACGAAGAGTTTGGGACCATGTCAGGGTTTCTAGAGGGACCCACCACATGCTCGCGGCCAGCTCTCGCGCACAGGAGCCCCACTAGGTTCCCGGAGGTGCGACGAGTCTTAGTAGCAACTTGCTGGTTTGTGGGTGGGAATGACCCCGGCGACGTTGTTCTATTTGTCTTTTTAGAGTTGGTTCCGTTTTTGGGGTGGTTTCAAAGGAAAAAACACAGAAGGAGACCTGGAGGGGTCCCCCATTTTAAGACACACCCATGTCCCTTTAGGATGGAACTTTCTTGCGTCGTCCCCTTTGTTTCGCCAAAAGGCCGGCATGAGGTTCTTCAAAGAGACACGGGAGCACACCATCGCACAATAATGCCAGTTGATCAACCGAACCGCACGTGCCAGCGTGGAGAGAACAAGTCAAATGGAGCCGTCCAGTACCCACACCAGGGCAAAAGTTCATGGTTCATGGCACAGTTTGTGCGTAAGTAAAGGGGATGACCAAGCCTCAATGGCCACCACCTGCTGCAGTCCTTGTGGAAGATGTTGGTGCAAGTAGCCACAAGGTGTCCTTTCTGTTCGTGTGCATGTATCCCGTGGAGCCCCTATAAGTAACCTGCCCGCTGGACTTCCATTGAAGTCGAAAGCAGAGGATCTTGTATTTCTGCCTGGTCATGCAAGAGGCATGGATGCGCTTGGGACAAGCCAAGGAGAGGCCCTTCAAAGGGCGTTCTTAAGTGTTTCATAGGTGACAGCCAGCCCCCACCCATTTTTCCCATGTGGATGCCCAAGTGAACCAACCACAAGCAGAACCGCCTGGTCAACTACGGCTGGTTTCCTGGCTTGTTCCCCTGGCAGAATCCTCCGGGCATCCGGTTTGCACCAAGAGGGTCGTGCCAAGGCGCAGAGCGGGAGGAGCCGGAGGTGAAGCGTGCATCGCGGGAGGCGCCGGAACCGGCTGCGAGCGTCACATCGCGAAGCCGTTTTGCCTGTCAAAAGCGGAGACTACCCCTCCCACAAACTAACATGGAAGTGCACAAAGCCCCTTTCCAAGAGGAAAGACTTCTGCAAGCCAAAAGCTGACAAGAAAAACGGCACCTGGGAAGGTCAGTCTGAAAGCCAAGTCAGTGCATATGTCTTGAGGGAAACCCCCTTTTTCTAATGGGAAAGGAAGAGGAAAGCCGCCAGTTTTTGTTGGTCCTAACAAAACGACACCCGAGTGTAGCAAGGGAGCCGCGCTTTTTTTCAGACCAACTGGACAGTTGCTGGTTACCTATGCAACGATCTCCTAGGCTTAAAAACTGGAGGTGCCCTGGCAGCTGGGGTTCCTTCATGAATGCCGAGCCTGCCATGCAGCAATTTTGTCCCATTCCTTCGGGGTAGGGCCACGGGGTTTGGGGCTCATTTGGGTATGTGTCAAATGAGATCTATGAATGGAGGGTGGTTGTTCTTGTTGATCTTTCCCTTTTTTTTCCGCCTCCCAAAGGGTAATTAATTTGGACCCCAAACCAACACGGCGCCTCCATTTTCGGTTAGGTCTGTCCCCCCTGAACGCCCGTTGCCTCTTCCTTTTGGCTCCACAAATATGGCAATCGAGTTGTTTTTTTCTTCGGCCGTACTATGAACCCTAAACCGGCTTCCGCTTTTGGTTCTAAGATGGCTATTGACGCGGGCCTCATAAACCTCAAACCAGCTGGTAGAACTATGGAAACCCTTGATTGATAAACCCCTGGTTGGTTTTGTTACGGGTGTGTCCCCTGTTAGTGGGGGATTCGGACATCTTCGGACTTTTGAAGGGAACACCCCCCTCAGATGGGTTCTGGCTGGTGCGATAGGCAGGGAATGTGGGAATGAACCCAGGGATTCCCTTAAAGGACACCGCCAGTTGGATGGTTTTCTTGGGGGTAATGTCATTTCTCATCCCCTGCATCTCTTGCACCGATCGCAAGCTTGAAGCAGCCCCAAAAAGAGGCTTCCCCCTTTTTTTTCCCCGCATCCCCAAACGTCTGGTCACCCACCCACCCCACCCCACCCCACCCCACCCCACCCCACCCCACCCCACCCCACCCCACCCCACCCCATTCCACCTCACCCCACCCCACCCCACCCCACCCCACCCCACCCCACCCCACCCCACCCCACCCCACCCCACCCCACCCCACCCCACCCCACCCCACCCCACCCATCCACCAGTCAGCCGCGCGCGCCCTCCATGCGCCCTCGGCGCTCTCCACGAGGCGCGGCGCATCGAGGCCTTCGCCGCCCTGGCGAAGGCGCCCAAGCCGCCCCCGCCGCTGAAGGACGCGCGGGCGCAGCGGCACAGCGGCTGCGGCGCCACGGCGCGGGGGGGGGGGGGGGGTTGGGCGTGCGACCGAGCGATCGATCGATCGGTGCGATCGATCGATCGGGTGCGATACATGGTCGTGGTTGGGTTTTACATTTTCCATTGTAAAAAATAGTTTTTGCTCCCCTTCCAACGTCAACCAAGGATAGGTAGGGACATGAAAAAGGGAAAATGAACCGGAGTAGGGGGATGCCCGAAGAAAGGAAACCACCGGTTGGATAGGATTTTTCCATGGGTCATTTGTTCCTTTCCTGCTGAGAACTAGCAAGTTCAAGTTGGAGGGGATTGGCAGGCAGATGTTGGAGCCTTGGTGTACTGCCGCTTTTGCTTCCAAAGTCAGGAAGTCACGGATTTTCTCTTAAGGCTCTCCAGGAAGGCCATCTCATGTGTCATCGACATGATATGGCTGTGGGTCAAGAATCGGTTCCCCAAATGGAACCTTGGTAAGTGGACACATGGACCAAAACCTGCGGTCCCCTGGTCGTTTGGTTTTGTCAGCAAGTCCTTGCAACAGCTATTCAACATGAAATGATGTTTTGCAGCACTCTGCAAGTCAGATTTTCACGTTCCTGTTAAAAGCAATACTGCAGCAATTCGACAAGCTCGGCGGTCCAGTCTGTTTTCAAGGGCTGTTTCGCCGTTTTCAAGGGCATTGTTGTGCTGTTTGCGCCAGGGCAACTGAGGGGTTCCATCACCCCTTGGTTCCCAGTCATCCCAGTCGCCTTTTTTTAGCTAGCTTTTGGGGTAGTTTAAAGTGGTAGTTGCTTTTTTTTCAACCCCACCAGCTACGCCGTATTTAACCCCCTTCTTCCATGTCCCGGGAAAATCGCCTCCCACCTTCCGCGCGAAAACGGAAAAAAAAACCGCGCCGCGCGGAGACCCCGGAGGTCGCTTTCGGTCGCGTGGAGGCCACGGAGGCGGAGCTGCGGATGCCCAAGGCGCCGGAGCCCTGCGGGCCCTGCCTGGCGGTGCCCAGCCTGGAGCGCAGGACTTCGGAAGCGCTTCGAACGAGCGAGGCAACGAGAGAGCCGGGCTTTGAGCCGGCTTCGAAGATTCAGCAGCGATGATTTTTGGGGGCGATGGGATGCCTGGACGGCTTTCCGTCTTGGACGAACTGGGATGAACTGGGGCACATGGGGGAATATGGGCGCTATGCTGATTTACTTGCAGAATGGGTCCTTAAGGACCCACAGCTCTGTGCGCCTTGCACGCCTGGGGCTTTGGGGAAGTTCATGACTGCATGTGCGGGGTGGCCGTGGAAGTCCGTGGCCTTAAGCTCCAAGCGGCCGATGACGTGCGTCGGAGCTTGCGATGGCAGGAGGGACGAGTTCCGTTGGCACAGCGTGGCGGCGGTCGCTCCATCCCATCCCATCCCATCCGTACGGACCAACTCACGAGATTCAAGGCCGCTCTATTTATTGAAAGGCCGGCAATGCTCGGGTAACTGGGCCAGGGACATGGTGAAAAAGCGCAAAGAACCGCCAGCAGCCTGTGTGATTGTGTGGGTTTGTCTCACAGGGAGCCCCAGTTTTAGAGCTAAAGGGTCCGAAGCAAACCAATCTGAATCCAAGTGGATCCATGTACCTATATAGGTAGGTAACCAAGGGCTTGCTCTTCAAGAAACCCCAAAAGGAAAATAGCGAAGGGTTAGCTACGAAAAGCCTCCATTTGCTTAAGATGTTTTTTCTTTTGATTTTGCCTTGTTGGTGTTAAAAGGAATTTATCTCTACTGGAAATTATTGTATTTTTTCCTGGTGCTTTAACCAAATGGAAGAAGAGGGCCTTGTCTGGGATCCACTTGGCTTGTCGAGACACCTCCCTCGGTGTCGAGGACTTTGCCGGAGCCCCCCACGTTCCTGGAAGCCGAACCTCTGACTTGGCGAGGCCGAGGCGAGAACGGGGAAGCCGAAGCGGGATGCGGCGCCCGATTTTTTATTTATATTTTTGGGGGGGGCCGGGGTTTGTAGCGGCCCCCTCCTTGGAGTTCAGAAAGATCAGTTGGTGCTTTAGAGTCTTCCAGCGCCTCTCGGATGTTTTGTTGTTGCAGGCGCCTGACATACTCGTGGGGTTGCAATGGCAAAGTTGACCGTTGCTCAAAGTGGCAACCGCCGTATGTGCATCCCGTTCTGATCGACCACAACGGCCAGCTTCGGTTCCAAGGAAGAGAAGCGCCCTCCGTTTCGTGCGGTTTACGTTGGGGCTGAGCACATCGCCAGGTTGAGCACACTCGGCTTAAAGAAGTGGGCGTGGCTCAAAAAAATCAACAGGAGGGGCAAACGGCAGATTTTGGTCCATGTTTCCACTCAGGGTTCCAGTTTGGTGCCGGTTTTTTGAGCCACAGCCAAGTGGGACCATGGCTCCCGTTTTCTTTTGAAACTTGTTGTTGGTTAGACTTCAGGGTTACCTGTGGGCATGGGGGTGTGATTTTTTTTTCCGAGGGTAGCCTTTTTTGGGGTTGGTTTCAAGGGAATTTAATGGGAAACCACAATGGTTTGTTTTCAAGCGAAACCCAAAGAAGGTTTAAACAGCAGTCTTCCACCACCCCAGAGCGAAAAAGGGGCCTATCGACCCAGCTTTAGCTGTTCGGGCAGGGTTAACCGAAGCTTCCTGCGATTTTGACTCTGCAGGTGCAGGGGTCCCCCAAATTTCCCTTTTGTGGATGTTCGTGGACGGAGTTTGGTTGGAACCCACCAGTCAGCTACAATGGATTGCAATGGAATCCCGCGAGGTGAGACTGCTTCTTCTGCAGCGGCAGCTGCGGAGGCAAGAGGTTCTGAACATTTGCCACCAACTTTAAAAGGCCTTGACACACAGGCCCCTGACACAGGGGACCTCAAGTGACTTGTTGACCTTGAGTTTTCCCTTCAAACTAGAATCCAAGACCTCAATGTGTGTGAGCCACTGGCCTTTGGATCATCGAACCCGGTGTTTCACAACTTGCACATCATATCCTGTTTTGGTTCCCCAGGCCTTCTGCAGATCTGTTGACCCGTGGCCCCGCCGCATTTCAACATCGATTTGTACAGGGAGTGGCCCTGCGCTGCTGATTTTCGGGGGAACTTTGTGGTTGAGCTCCTTGTGCCGTGATGGTTGAAGATCTGTAGCTACATGCCCCACACTGTCAATGTCCGAAGGAAAGCCATGGCAGACCAACGTTTAGTACCCAGGTATGATTGCATCTAGAATGGCCCAAGTCAACTAGATGCAAGACAGATGAGCGAACCATGATAGACACCTGTAATCAGGGAACCTAAACAACGCAGCGAAAGCGCGTGCCGATGCGAGGCAAGAACTGCCGTGCTTGCAATGGTTTTCTATGGTATTTCCATTTAAGCAACCGACGAAGTGGCTGGTAGTCTATGGAGTAGCACGGAGGACATACACGGGGCACCTCAAATGTTCACAGAACCAGGGGGGGCACCTGGGGCAACCTTTCGACTTTTGCCCGTTCGACGGGAATGTGGTTGTTTTGAGGGTAGCCTTTGGGGCTTTTGTATTATTTGCTCCCCTGCCATTTTTTTCTGCCAAACAACGCCTAGAGGAATCTTCAAAAAGGGTGGGGGGCCTTCTGGGCTCCGGCCCCTCCCTTTCTCCGTGTGGTGGCCACACATCCTTTGTGTTTTGGCCGTTTTAAGTGAGTGTACTTGGGGGGGGATGTTTAAAGAGGACTTTCATGTTAGCACATGTTCACATTTTATATTTAGAAAGGACACGTCTTGGGTTGGATTTCTTTAAACTAAGAGCACTGTGTTTGTTTTTCTCCGTCTCTCTTTCTTAAACAAAGGACAAGACACCATATAGGCGGAGCCGCTGCGTATCTCAAAAAAAAGCACAGCTTTCTCTCCCTTTTCTTGGTGGCTCCCAGACATCCCCTTCGCCTTTTAGCCTTTTAGCTTTTTAGTGTTTGGTGGTAGTTTCCATTGAACCCACTAAAAGTTAAACTTGTAGCGAGGGGATCTGAGGGCGGCCCAGTTCATCTGAGCACAGAAACCGTACAGGGCGCTCGATTTCCTCCGAGGCGGCCCGGGCTGCGGCGGAGCTGGCGCGGGAGGAGCAGCCGCAGTCCCGGGATGAATTTCTGGGTTCCGAGGATGCGGTTTTTCTTGTTTTTTTTGTTTGTTTTTGTTTTTGATGGAACCCGTTGTTTGATTGGGTTTAAAGGGAAACCAAGAGGAAAGCCCACATTGTTGGGGGGTTCCCTGAAAAGGACACACCCGGTGTTTACCCTCCCACCAATCATGGAACCTGACGTTCGGGGTCCTGGCCCTTTAAAGGAAAATGGTCCAAACCACCTCCCGAAACGTCAAGTTCCATGTCTGCCTGTTTTACAGTTGGTACCCATTTTGGTTGCTTGGCTTTAAAGCAGGGGAAGACCACCTTGTCGGGGTCCCCAATACTCCGCACAAAGCCGCGATTGAGATTGGGTGTTGCATTGGGTTTTACAAAATCTGACCCAATTTTATAAATGCCCAATGGTCCTGTGGAGAGCCATGTAGTTTATTTCTCGAAACCGGAAAGCAAGTTTATTCCTTCTCTCCGCCATTTCTCAGGGCACCGGACACCGGTTTCTTACAAACGGGTTCCCTTCGATTGCACGTCTGACAATCATGCACGCATCCGAACGGTCCGAACGGATCCAAATTTGCTGAAGGGACATGGGGCATGAGATCAAAGTTTCAACAACCAGGGGACAACCGCCAATAGTCCCATGCTAGCTTGCTTGCTTGTACATTGGTTTGTTGATTTGTTGTTTTGCTGTGTGTGTGTGTGTGTGTGTTTGTGTGTGTGTGTGTCGGGCGGGGTGCACTGCGGGAAGCTGCCCTCACACCCACTAGCATGGTACCCGGCAGGGGGCCATAGGAGGAAGGGTACGTGTCCACTCCCACTGACAGGGTATTATTGCTGATAGCCACAGCCGCGAAATGGTGGCTTTCCAAGCCACTTGGTTTCCCTTTAAAACCACCATAAGCTACTCAAAACGAACTACCCCTAAACAAAAACACCCATTTTGGGGGGAGCTCTCCCTTTTTGACAACACCTGCGGCCTGCGCCGTGTGCTCGAGGCGGCAGACCCAGCGGGTGAGCCGCTGGATGTCAAGAGCTGAAGCCCCGGTCAGGCGCTCAGAGGCTCAGAATCTTTTTCAAAAAGTGATGTTATGTTTTGTTGTTTGGGGTGGAAGTGCCCCACCCTGCTACTGATTCATGAGAGAGAATCTTTCTCACATGTGTCCTGTTGGGGTTATTTTTTGTTTCTGGGGAACCAAAAGGAAGACGCCGTCTTGGGGGTCCGAACCCTATTTTGACGCATACTCATGGGGAAATCAAAAGGAGAGTGTTTGAGCACCCGGGTTTTGGTTTTTGGGGTTGAATTGCCGTAGCCTACTGATTCGAGTGAGAGCGTGGTTCTGGAAGCTGAGCATTGGTTTCAGAGAAACAGCCTGACTGAAGCGAAGGGTCCAATGTGTGACCAATTGATCATATCATGGTTGTTGTTGGGAAGCATTTTACATGTTTGCTTATTGTGGTTTAGTGGGAAATCCCCACTTAACCGCTAAAAAATAAATGTTTGCTCCCCTTCCAACGTCAACCATGATACTGTGAATGGACGACATCCGTTCGTACCACTTTGAAACCAGAAGCCATAGTTTGAGAAGCGTATTTACAGCGGAATCAAATCATTCCAGGGTGTGGTTTAAGTGGTGCTGGATTTCGTCGATCCACAGTGGGTGGGATGTCCTTGCTGGTTGCTTTGGTAAAAACCGGATGGCGCTGGTTGACCTGTGGTTTCATTCTCATTTCCTGAACAATCGATTTTCCCAAAAGAACACCCTATGATCTTGTTGCTTGGCGTGTTGCTGAGAGTAGATGGCACAATTTATTTTTTTGTTTAGTTGTCCCCTTGACTCACCCACAAAAAGCTGGAAACTTGTGCCATCTACTTTCGCCCAAGCTGTGCACGTGTCATGCGAGTTTGAAGTTTGAAGCCCCCTCTCTCTCTGTCTCTCTCTCTCCCTCTCTTTGTGTCTCTCTCTCTCTCTCTCAGTCTCTCTCTCTCTCTTTTTCTCTC